CTCCCCCACTATCCGACCAAAAGCGGCGTTTAGCAGGTGGCGTTGCCTTTCCCACCCGTTGTGGCCACTCCATGAAATGCACTGCCCACTGCCCCAGTGAGCCGTGCTATATGAGCCACTCCAACCGACATCCGGTCTCTACCATATCCACGCCGAGCCCCTCCTCTGGTAGAGACAGTCTTGGGGACTGCCTAGAAAGACACCCAGTGTGCCTCCTGCCACGACGTGTACCACGACCTGTACCATGACCTGTGTCTTGGGGACTGCCTAGAAAGACACCCAGTGTGCCTCCTGAAGGCCAAGGCCGGCGCCGCGCCGCCCCTGCGGTGGTGCTTACTTTGCAGCGCTGCTGCGGCCGGTTGCCCAGGGGCCGGGGCCGGCGCCGGGTGAACAGCCCCCTGACCGTGCGCCGGAAGTTGCGCGTCATGAAGCAGTAGAGCAGCGGGTTGATGGCCGAGTTGCAGTGGCCCAGCAGCAAGGTGAAGGGCAGCATCTGCAAACAGGGAGCAGGAGCGGGGCGCTCGGTCAACAAGGCGGCGGCGGGAGCAGGACGGGGGGGCCCTGACTTTTTAGACTTTTCCTGATTTTTCCGATTTTTTTTCTTATTTCCTTTTTTTTATATTTCCTGTTTCTTTTACAAATGGAAAAGGGGGAGGGGGAGGTGGGGTTTACAATGATTTTGTTTGTAGTGTAGAGTGTAGAAGTGCCCCGCCGTGGGAGCAGGGGGTGCCCAAACGACCAGCACGACGGCGATGCGATACGCTCGTTACTCTCCTCCTCGTCGTATTGTGTCGTTCCTCTCGGTACTCACGTCGATGAGCCACTGCACGTTGTCGCTCGAGTCGAGCAGATCGAGCACGAGCATGATGACGTTGTACGGCAGCCAGCACATGGCGAAGAGGATGGCGAGCACGAGCAGGATGCGCGCCACGCGTCGCCGCTCGCGCACCAGGCGGGAGCCCTGCAACCACACCAAAGTGTCACAACCGTCCAACCCAACAACCATTCACAATTTGTCCAACTTAGTGCAATCTTGGTATCATGCTTTTTAATTTTTTAAGGCATTTGTCGTCAATAAATATTTTCAGAAAAAATAATATTTGAAACATTTTGCAACTGATTTCCTTGCCTGTTGCGAGCTGGCGCTGCCCGCCGTCGAGTTCTCGTCGAAGGGTGGCTTGACGGCGCACAGCCGCCGACCCATGAGCGAGTACGCGGCCACCACCACCGTCCCCGGGATGGCGTACACCATCGTGAACAGGCACGCCCCTGAGACATCGACATCGTTACACACCAGGGCAAGAGAGAGAGAAGAGAAAAAAAAGCTGGTCGTCCGTTTGTCCCCTGCAGGGCCTGCTCGGCGGCCTTCTCGGTTAGTACTCAGAGGGGTGAAAGGGAAGAGGGTTGAGAGGGGCAGGGAGAGGGGCTTTCAGGAATGCAAAACTGGCGAGCATCGACCTATAACGTGCCCCGCCCCCCTCTCGCCACTTGTTTAGCCCTCCACGAAGGGTTGGAAATAAAGATAAAAAAAGAGAGAAAAACATTAGTATACGGCGCACGCACCGCCACGCCCTGCCACGCCCTGCCACGCCCCGTCCTTTGCCCTTCGACGAGGCGCTGACGAAGCGTACTATCGAGGCGCGTTCGAAACAATCCGTCAACGTCCCCCGGACCCTCCGACACGCTCAGCCCGCGACGATCGCAACACGTCGTCCAGGAGCCCATCAAGGCAGCACGGCTGGACGCTCGCGCCACTCCACTCTGGACACCTTTCTGTAAGACGATCTCACACCTTTTACTCTGAGGCACTTGTGTACTACACCTTTATTATTTGATGTGAGGCACTCGTTTGTGTGTGCGACATATGGTGTCCGACATCAAACAGTGTTGGACAGTCTTCCATACGTTCGGTGTTATTGGACACACTGTTTCTGGCCCAGCGGGTGTGGGACTCACTCTGAATCGAAATCAATAAAGAAAGGTGAAGAACACAAAGTGCCTTTACATTGAAAGGTGTGGGACACAAGTGCCTTTTTTTAAAACCGTGTGAAGCTGAGCTAAATGTGCGTCTACCTTGGCCTGCGGCGCGCTAAAATTAAAATGGTTTCGCGATTTTGGTTGGCATGCCTGTCCACCTCACATCCCATGTCTCACACCAGGCGCCTCACTTCACGCAGTCTTCCGGGCGGTCTCCCCTTGCGCTTCCTGACAGAGCTGAGCATTTAAAGTTAAAGTTTAATTTCAAGTTCAAGTTAAGCTCAGCAAAAAGGTGTGAGACCGTTTTACGAAAAAAAAAGTCCCAGAGTAACGACGGCATAAGACTGATATCTCGAAAACGAAATTGAATGTAAGAGCCGATCCGGCGGACGAGGATGGGGTCTTAGAAAAACGAGTCGCTTACGTTCAAGTGCCGTTTCCTGCCGGTCAGGTGCGCCGAGTCTGGAGGACCGGCGGGTCCAGCTCAAACACGTGCTTGAATTACAAATTCTTTCACTCGGAATTCGGCGGCCGGGTCGGGCCGGGC